TGAGCCATGGTTGGCCATGTGGGAGTGTGATGTAACCACTATGCAGTCTACTGGTCTCAATAATTTTTCTCTTTTCTTTTTTAATTTTATATTTTTAAGAAAAGAGAGCACACATGGGGGGGAGAGAGAGAGACAGAGAGAGAGACAGAGACCCTTGACGAGGTCTTGTCCTGTTGTGATCCCTTTATCCAGCCCTTCAGCTCCTCAAGATTCTGGGTGCCCATGTATACTTGATATATTTCAACCTGACCCAGGGGTCTGACTCTGCTGTCAGCCATATGATCCTAGCCTTGCAGGGCACTTGTGTTACTGCTATGCTGTGCAACTGGGCCAATGGTTCTTTACTTTGTTTTCTTCTTGTTGCATATATTCTCTTTAAGATTTCACAATGAGAGGTGACAGAGAAATTTAGATATTTGGAATTTTCTATTTCATCTTTCACTTTCTGCTGTATTTTGACATGATTCAATTTACTACTACAAGGACTTTTGGTAACATGGTTTCTCAGGGGGACTCAGAGCTACAGTAGGGACAGAGACTGTCTAGCTCTGAATCTTCAGGAGCTTTAATAATCTGTGAGAAGGGCATGGTAGAAGTAAGCATAATGATGTCTCAAGGTCAGTTCACTAAAGTAAATTTTATTAGAGGTTCAAATAAATTATGCTCTGTTCATAGTATACAATGACTCCTCATGTAGCCAACACGTCTTGGCATAAAAGCTTGCATCCCACAGTCTGCCAGGAGGTGATACAACAACCCCAGTTTCCAATATTCAAGGAAGGTTTTTTTTTTTTTTTTTTTTTGAGAGAGATATTCTACAATACGGTGTGTGTTCTTGCCAGAGAGACAGAGAGACAGAGAAACAGAAAGCGAGAAATCACCCCCTGGGAGGATGGCCACACCACAGTCCCTTCTCCTCCAGTCTCTTCTCAGAATTTTGGGCAGTCATGGACATGCCCTTGGTGAGTGTTTTAAACTGCTGGGTCTGGCACTTGAACCATGGTCTCTATGTGGAAGTCCAGCAGTGTAACCATATGCCATCTGGTGGTCCTCCACCCCCCCACTTTAATTTTTTTTTCAGAGAGAGACTGTTGCTATAGGGCCCATGCACTTACCAGAGAGACAAAGAGAGACAGAGAGACAGAAAACGAGAAATCATCCCCCGGGGGGGATGGTCACGCCGCAATCCCTTCTCCTCCATTCTTCTCTTGGGATTTTGGGCATGTGTGCACAGGCTCCTGGCATGAGTTTTAAGCTGCCAGGTCTGCAACTCAAACTGTGGTCATCTAAATGGGAATCCGGCATCATAACCATTACGCCATCTGCCAGTCCCCCAAGGAAGGTTTTTATGTCCCAGAGTTCTTGTTCATGTGCTTGTGGGTTCTTGAAATGCTCTAGCCATCCCCTCTAGTGCTATTTGATCAGCATTTTGAGTCATTTAGCCAAACCATGGCTCATAGAATTATTGCATTTAGCCAGAACTCATTGGCCCAGAAACTGTTTTCTTTTTTAGAAGAAAATGCCTATTAGAGAGTGACAAAAGCAGGGGCCAGGAGTTGGTATGATGTTTAAGGTGCTGGACTTCCGCATGGCCATGGTTCAAGTCCTGGACCTGACAACTTGAAAATCATGTCAGGTGCATGTCCATGTGTGCCCAAAATCCCAGGAGAAGAATGTAGGAGATGGGATTGTCGTGTGGCCATTCTCCTGGGGGATAATTTCTCACTTTCCCCTCTCACTGTCTCTCTCTGTTTCTCTAATAACTTCACGTGCCCTATGGAAAAATCCTTAAAAAAAAAAAAAAGGCAGAGTTCTGGAAAATAAAGATAAAGAGGACAAAGGTTAGAGCAGGCTGAGGGCAAATTTTGCCCTGATCTCTCCTGATGGAGGCTCAGGAGGATTTTTCTCCGGTTAGATTCGAGTCTCCCTTATTTAAGCTAACCTCTACAGGAATACCTGGGTTCCCTTATATAGGAAGCTCTGCCCGAAAATAGCTAAGACATTTGCTGTTTTTAGGAATATATAGCATCTTTATTCAAAGTGAGTTCCCCGGCTCCAGTCTTTTTAAAAATTAAAATGCATGTTATTTTTTTCTTTAAAAAGTAATGCATACTCATTAGAGAATATTGAGCAACACATAAAAGGAAAAGGAAATTTTAAAATCACCTGGATTCACTATCACTGTTAATAATTTGGACAGTTTTTCACCACTGTTACACACACACACACACACACACACACACACACACACATTTAGACACCTATATACATTTATATATAATGAGGATATGATATTTGCTACGTATACTGATTATTTTCTGAACATAAAGTAATATATGTTTATCATAGAAAATTAGAAAATAAAGAAAATATAAAGAACTATAAAGAGATCACTATATATCAAAGTCTTACTACCTAATGATAAAATGATTGACTTAGTATCTTTACTTCACATTTTGCACATACACACACACAAATGTGTACATACTCCAGACTTAATCATAGTATATACCAGAATAATAACTATCCTGGATGGAAGATAAATTTAGGGGAGCTTGTGATACATACAATTATGATATACTGCTGAGTAGTTTAGTAGTCTAATTAAAACAAAAATCAATGACTCAGATCACTCAGTATGACTTTTAAAGAACCAGAAAATGACTCAGGATCCTGAATGGCCAGTAAGCTGCTCTTTGCAACTGACATTGTCAGGACAGGCCCCAAAAGCTGACTTGGAGGCTCTCTTGGCACAACCACCTGCTCGTCTGGTCTTTCTGTGTTCCAACTGGATTGTCCCCAATTCTGTGCTCTGTAGTAGAGCTCAGTGACCCTCTGCAGTGCAACTGGGTCTTGCTCCCATGTTTCCAATGGCCCCTCAATGGCTTCTCCTTGTCCTCAGGATGAAGCCAAACTTTTCTTCTTCTCTTTTCCTTCCTTTCTTCCTTCCTTCCTCCCTCCCTCCCTTCCTCCTTCCCTCCTTCCCTCCTTCCCTCCTTCCCTCCTTCCTTCCTTCCTTCCTTCCTTCCTTCCTTCCTTCCTTCCTTCCTTCCTTCCTTTCATTTCTTTCTTTAAATTCATGATAGAGCACATGCACGCATTAGAGAGAGAGAGAGAGTAAGAGAGAGAGAGAAAGTGCTCCTCCACAGGGCTTGGTCACACTGTAATGCCCTTATTCCAGCTTATCAGGATTTTGGCTATATGCATAGCATGTCTTCAGGACTCCATCTGTGGTCAGTATGTGGCTTCCAGCTTCACAGTTGGACATACACCGATTGCACCATGGAAGCTGGGCCAAGGCCAAACGTCTTCACAATAGTTCCTACCTCGTAAGAGAAGGTGTGAGGATTTAATAAGTAGACACATGTAAAGTGCTTTGGCATTGTGCCTAATGTACAGCAAGCCTTAAAAGAACGTTGAATGGCAATATTATTCTCTTCCGCTGCCTACCTTCGTTCCCCGTGTTTGTGAGACAAGGACATAGATGGCCCAGACCTGTATCATTGAGGTCCAATCCCTGAGAAGGTAGAAATTTTCTCTCTTAAAGTTTTCAGATTGAAAAAAAGGATTGTGTTGGTCTGGTCAAGAGGTGTGGGGGATTAATGGTGGTGGCCTAGTTGATGTGGGAAAAAGAATTTTATGTCCATGCATTAGCTCTTCTTTCCATCCTATATTTTTCTCTCAAAGATTTTTTGCTTCTGACTTATAAAAAAAACATTTCTTTTCTTTCTGTAGTCTGTCACAGAGCTCATGCATCTTGTCATTCCCACAATTAAAACTTTTTAAAAAATTGCCAGTGAGTACATGGGATTTCCAGAGAGAGAAAATACCCGACCCCCCTCCCCCCCAATGGGACATGGTTGTGTCACCATCCTTTTTCCTCCATTTCTCCATGCCATCAGGATTTTAGGTGCACTCAGCATATTTTTCAACCCACCAGGCCAAGGTTTGAACCATCCTCAGCCACGTGGCCTTTCTATGCACAACATTTAGCCACTGCTATGAAGCCAGCCCCTTTACACTTTAAAAAAAATGTTTTTATTTATTTATTTTTTTCTTTGTGAAAGAGAAAGGATAGAGAGAGAGAGAATAGAGGGAAAAGGAAAGAGACAAAGTTAGGTATCTTTGACAAAGTCTCACCCTGTCATGACCCTCCTGCCCTAGCCTCCCAATTAGCTAGGAACACAGACATGAACGGTCACACCTAGCATGTTCTGGTTGACCCAGGAACTGAACCTAGGCCTCCTATGAAGCTTTCGGACTCCCAAACCATGGTGCTACCTATACACCACTGGCTGAACCTCATTTCTGCCATTTTACTCTGTTCCTTTAAGTGTTAGCCTAGCAGTCTCTTTTCCTTACCCTGGGGTATTTTGCATGGGTCTCACATGGGTGGGGGGGTTTACTTATATAACTATTACATCAGGTGTCATCTGTATACAGCTTTATTTCTTCTTCCTACTCTTTACTTTTTAGGTTATTCTTTGAAAATAAGGAGTCATTGGGTAATGCCACTACTTAGTAATTAATAGGCACAGCCTATCATAACATTAGCAACTTGAAAATTATTATGAAACTAAAGAAAGCTTTGTTCAGCTCCCTCCTCCCCCATCTCAGTCTTATATTGAGTGGCCAGTGGCACCTTCTTCTCCATGTCCTGTGTTGGAGCTTCTCCTCCTCCTGTGTTCTCTAGGCTGCCTCTGAGGAGCTGCATGAGGTATGACACAAAGAACTGCAGGAGTAGGCATCAGAGTCCAGCTGTCTTCTAGTAAGTCTGACATTAAAGAACTTTGCCAAAATGTAAAGGAGTTCCCTTCTCACTAATTTGTTATTTGGAAAATGTAGTTATTTCTCATAAAATGTTATTTATGTTAGCACATGATGAATTTATTGTTGTTAGTGAGATAATAAATTCTAAATGTTCTTTACCTTCATTTCAAATATAATAAATGTACACAGATATTCCTCACTTAGTGACTGAGTTCTATTCCTATGTCTAGGTTGTTAAGTAAATTGGTCAATAAGGAAGAAGATAAAAGGCTGATTTCCTATATTGTGTCGTGGTGCCACAGGGTATGTATTTTTCAACAGATATCATGCGACACCACACTAGAATAATTTAATTATATCCATACAAAAGTCATAAGTGCTAAGACAGACTACAGCACAATAATATAAATCTGGAGTAATCATTTTTATTTATTCTGAATACTATTATGGGTGCACAATAAAGCCCAGATTTATAAAGGAAATATGTAGTCTTGCATGATTGCAAACACTTCATGTAGTGAATACTAACTCACTGTGGGAATATGACACAGACTGAGAAATGGGAGTCCCATGCTGGAGAACTGATCATAAGTCGAAGTGGTCATTGAACAGGTAGGTCATTAAGAAAGGAGTGACTTCATAGATATGTCCCATACAAGCAAAAGCTCTCCGGAGTTCTCAGTTATTATTATTTTTTTTAAATTGCCAAAGGGTGCATATGTTCACCAGTAAGAGACAAAGACAGAGAGAGGCAGAGAGAGAAGAGAGAGCATCCCCCACTTGGGCGTGGTCATGCTGCAATCCCTTCTCCATTTCTCCATCCTGTTGGGATTTGAGGCATATAAGCCAATGTGCTTGGCATGGTTTTCAAGATACTGGGGTCAGAATTTGAACTGCATAGTTGTCCATGTGAGACCTGGTTCCCCTAACCACTAGGCCACTGGCTGGCCCACAATGGTATTTTTTAAAAATTATTTATCACTTTTATGAGAGAAAGAGAAATATATAGAGAGAGACAGAGAGAGAGAGAAAGAGAGAGAGAGAGAGAGCGAAAATGAGACAGGCACCCAACAGGGTCCCTGTGCTGCAATATGCCCCCGGCCCCAGCCAACCTGGACCCTGGGCACATGTGTTTGTACCTACCCTGTTCAGGGAGGCTCTGAAATATGAAGGTTCTCTGAAACATGAAACTGGAACCTTCTCATGTAAGTTTAGTTGTGTAATCATTGTATTTGAGAACCACCCTTTTTTATTTATTTATTTTTTTGGAGAGTTTTTTTATATAGGGCGCATGCGCTCTCCAGAAAGACAGAGAGAGACAGAGAGACAGAAAGTGAAAATTCACCCCCCTAGGGTGATAGCCACGCCACAATACCTTCTGCTCCATTCTCCTCTCGGGGTCTTGGGCACACACGCACACGCACTCAGCGTGAGTTTAAGCCACTGGGTCCAGAAAGCGAACTGCGTTGACTACATGGGAGTCCAATGACACAGCCATTATACCAACTGCTGGTCCCGAGAGCCACTCTTGAAAGACTTAGGTGTCAAGGTATGGGTTTATCAGCTTTAAATGTTATAGTGTAACTTATTATAAATTTGCAGATTTGTGCTTGTGTTCATTTTTATGGAATGATAGACCTGTGCTGTCATAAGCTCTGTGATGCCCAGTCTTTGGAGAGAGTTTTCAAATTACTAGCCAGGATGCTGTTGTCTTCTGAGTGTCATGTAGTGGTTGGGGGTGAGGGTTGAGTGGGAAGACCTCTTTCTGTGCAGTCCTATGTTGCGATCATTTCCATGCTACCATTATTGTCATATATTAGCATGGAGCATTTAACAAGAATTTACCTCCCAGGCAGAAGGCTGGGTGGAAGTCCATTCTGCTCTCAGATCCTCCAATTTATTTGGAGGAGTTTTTAAAAGTCTGTTATGTATTTCTTCTATGAATGAAAGATACAAAGAGACAAAGTGATCCCATCAAGATCTCAATGCTACAATCTACCCCCAGCCTTAGTTATCCCAGATCATAGGCATGGCCATGTCCAGTGTACTCAAAGCAGTCTTTGGACTTGAACCCAGAACCTTCCCATGTGGATCATCTTCATCAAGGATCATATTTTACCTCTATGCTGGAGGATTCTGTTGTCCATGACCCATCTTTCTCTGTG